TCTCCAACAAGGGGTAATGGATTAGCCACCTGAAGGCTTTATCTGTTTGTAATCTCCGCCCAGGCTGACAAAATGTCAAAGAATAAGAAGAAGAAATTGAAGAAGAAGCAGAAGCGCCAGGCAGAATTACTAGAGAAGCGAATGCAGGAAATTGAGGAAATGGAGAAAGAGTCGGGCCCTGGGCAAAAAAGACCAAACAAGCAAGAAGAATCAGAGAGTCCTGTTGAAAGACCCTTGAAAGAGAACCCACCTAATAAAATGACCCAAGAAAAACTTGGTATAAATAGAGCATCACAAAAATTACTTTATAGCAAACTTTAACATTATCATTGTTGTATAATATAGTGGTTTCATGCACACAACACATCTCTGGGGGTGTCCTTATCCAGTAAGAATACAGAACTTGTCATAAGTATTAGGCAGGTGATATTCAAATGTAATTTCTAACTTTTCTCAAGAAATGCAACATAGCCTTCGTTTAGCAATTGGGTAAAGGAAGAGCTTTGTCCTTCCATAAATAGGTTTTATATGTTCAGTCGTGTTTTTATGCCACAGTCTATGAGTTCTAGAAAATGTTTTAATCTTGAGAAATTTTTCTGTTTTTTCATTCATACGCATACACATACATCCTTTTTGTCTGTTTGTTCCTTAGAAGAGTCAAGTACCGTTAACCAGGATCAAACACTTATGGAACGTGGTATAGAGGGTGGTGAAGCAGAAATTAATTGCAATGGAGTAATTGAAATCGTTAATTATACTGAGAACAGTAATAAAGAAACATTGAGGCTTAAAGAGGATCTACATAATGCTAATGACTGTGATGTCCAAAATTTGAAGCAGGAAACTAGTTTCCTAAGCTCCCAAAATGGAGACAGCAGCACATCTCAAGAAACAGACTCTTGTACACCTGTAACCTCTGATATGTCAGATACTATGATGTGCCAGTCTTCATCAAATGTAGCCCAGTCATTCAATGAACAGGACATCAGTCAACTTCAAGAAAGCATTCGTGCGGAGATACCCTGTGAGGATGAGCAGGACCAAGAACATAATGGACCACTGGACAACAAAGGTACTTCTCCAGACATACTTCCCCAGTACTCCTTCCCTGCATAACATATATATGAATTTCTAGACAAAATACCAATTTTTTAATAAATTCAGCTTTACAGCAGGTGTCCAAGTTACCTTCGATGTGTAAATCTGTAGCTAACTTTGAATTTTATTGGTTGTATACTGGGTACACAGCATTTCACTTGTTGCTATGATGGCAGAGGTTTTAATTCTAGAAACTTAAGGTGTTGCTGTGCTCTTTTTACCTTAGAAAAGTTGTCGTGGGTTGCCAATTGGGGGCTTGGGTGCATTACCTCAAGAGAGTTTTATTAACCTTTGGGTATTTCTGTGTTTGTTGAACAATTTTATTAATGATTGCCTATTGTCTGTAGGAAAATCCACTGCTGGAAATTTTCTTGTTAATCCCCTTGAGCCAAAAAATGCAGAAAAGCTCCAAGTGAAGATTGCTGATCTTGGAAATGCCTGTTGGGTGGTAAGTTAAACTTGTCTTGGTGCTTTGTTTTGACTAGGAGTTAATGAGAATTTGGACTTAGTTGTACTAAAAGAAGAAAACATCTTCAGTTACAAACCTAGATTTGATTTTGTTAACCAATGTCACCATAAAAAAAAAAAAGTTAATTAATTAATTAAATTTAAAAAAAAAAAAAAAAAAACCCTAGATTGCCAGTTAACATTTTAGTGAATATTTTTCACTTGGTCTTTTAACCTTTGTTATGGAGAAGTTCAAATGGTATAATGAGGTAATCCTTTCCACTCCAGGTACCTGTTACGCAGATTCAATAATGTCAACTCCTAGCCAATTTTATCTGTATCTTCATCCATTTTCATACTCTGAATGCCTTTGTTCCCCCTATTTTTTTTTCCCCCAAAATTGGCACCTGATTTATTAGTCGTAACCTTTTAATTTACTTAATGTATTTTGGACACTTTTCTCAGTTCACCAAAAATTTTTATCAAATTCAGTTGGTTATTTAGTATTCCCTAGTACATTATAATCTTTATACATTTTTGACAGCTCTTTGCAATGAGCATCTTTGCTCATGAATCTAAGTCATCCTTAGAAACATGTTCTAGACATGAAATTGCTAAATCAAAAGTTGGGAGCTTTTTGTAAAGGAGTTTTTGATCTATAGTGTCATTAATACTGTTGTTTACCTAGTTAACATGGGGGCTGTTGCATTATTTTAAATGGACATCTTTTTAAATCTACAATATAATAATTTACACTTAAATGACATTGCTCAAAGAACCATATGCTTTGTAAACAAGAATATTGGAGATGGTTGGGACAAAAACTGAGCTGTTGAAAATCCACTTTAATATGGCTTATGTTAACACTTCAAATTCCCTATTCCCTATGACTTTTGTACCTAATGGTTTATACCCTAGAAGGATCATACTTCCGATATTGATTCTAGAATATTGTTATACCTTTTAGGAAAAATGAAGTCAGATCTTAGCACTGGCTGATAGCAAGGTGGAAAAGCTTTTGAAGCAATTAGAATTACTTCACTACGCCATTGTCTAGTCCAGACCATCATATGTTTTCACCTGGATGACTGCAGTAGCCTCTTACCCTCTCCATTCTGCTACCTACTCTTGTTCCCTACAGACTGTTGTCAACAGAGCTATCAGTGTGATCCTTCTAAATACAAATCACATCAGATACTCTCAAATCCTTGTAGTGGCTTCCTTCAGAATGAATGCCAAAATCCTTACCATGTCCCCGCACACTATCAAACAAAAAATACTTACTGTTCCTACTGTCTGGAACTTTCCTCCAAATAAAATGTTCACCTCAATCCCTTATTTCAAGTCCTGTTCTAAGATGTTATCTTATCAGGGTGATTGTCCTCTGAACACCTAACATAATTAGCAAACCGCCACTCTCCAAACCCATATAACACCTACATTATATTTATTCATGTATTTTCTCTCTTCCTCTCCTCCCTCAAATTTTTTTCTCCACAGCACTATCACAATCTGATACTAAATGATGGTTTGCTTAATATTCCTTTCCCTAGAACATATGTTCATCACAACAGAGATTTTTTGTTATTATTGTTGTTCACTGCTCTATGATATTTAGAACAGTGCATGATACATAGGAGATAATAAATATTTAAGTAAATGAATTTGTAGAGAAACATTGGTTCTGTACCAGAATCACGTGGTACAAACATCAAATGTTTGTGGTTTTCTGCCCATACCGTATTTTAAGCTTTCATGCCTTTATGTTCGGAACATACTTTCCTTACCCATCGGGCACACTTTTCTTTATTTTGGTACAACCTTTCCTGTCACCTTTACTAACAGCAGAATTTCTCTTTTCTCTTCAACCATTAACATGCATGTCTTTTTAACATGTCTTTACACCAAAATGACTTTACATTCTTTTCATCCATTCACTCATTCAACAACGTAATTGGCACATAGTCTGACCTGAGCACTAGGACACAGTGGTGAACTAGACGTAGGTGTCTTGGCTCTGCTGGATCCTGGTCATACTCACATGTTGGTCTCTCTAGCACCGCAGCATCTAGCATTCAGTAGTACAGTTTTATGTGTTGACAAAAGATACATCCAGACCTGTAGTGAATTTTTATAATAGCTTATTTGAGACAAAGTGACATTGCCAATGAGCAAGATCTCAAATGCTCCACAGAATGACAGTTTTGCAGTTTCTTTTCTACATTGGGAATTAAGGAGGGAACATAAGGAAGGTTACATGAAGGCAAAAGAAAGCAAGGTAGGAATTGGATTACAGGATAGTTAACAAGATTATACGCTCTCTTGAGTGTGGTTACGCTTCCAAGGGGACTGAAAAAGAGGTATTTCAAAGATGTGTTAATAGATGCACAGAAACAATGGACAGGGCTTGTGTAAGGCGAAGATAAAGCTTTTACTAAAGAAATTATATGCCTAGGGTGTGACTACCTACCGTGACCTGCCCAGTTAGGAATTTATGATCAGAACACCCTGTGAAGTCCAGTTACTTTTGGTCACTGGACTTCTCAGATTTATTACTTATTTTTCCATTCACATATGTGATTTTCAAAAAGCTTGATATGTAAAAATATACTATACTTTTGCTTATCAGTTATACATGTATATAGTTTAGAGACAGTTATGTAGATTTTGATTCAAAAATCTAAACCCCACCTTTGCCAATTTTTCACTCTCCACATAACAGTATTTACCTTCATGTCGCTAATAAATAACTTGGATATATTGTTCTCGATTCTTTTTTTCAATTTTAGGTATTATTTCTTTCTCTTGAAAAGTATAACTGCACCTGTCCCAGTCTTCCCAATTTAATATGATTTTTGGCTATGCAATCATTCTGCATTTACATTATTAGGACTCTAATGCTATCCTCATGTGTTAATAGGTGCACAGAAACAATGGACAACACCCTGTTTTTGTGTTTTGGTTTTTGTTTTGTTTTTGCTTTTGTTTTTTTGGTTTTTTTTTTTTTTTTTTTTTTTGAAGTACATACAGCTTGCAGTAGAAAGGGTGTGTGTGATTGGGCAGACAGCAGGGAACCTTAAATGTTTGTTAACACTTTTATTCTGCTTTCACAGTCGGTTGGGTGTAAAGTTTTAGGTTGAGAATCATTTTCCTTCAGAGCATTCATCATTGCTCTATTGTCTTTTAGCTTTCCCGTCTTGCTGCTAAAGACCAATGTCATTCTGATTCTTGATCTTTTGTATAAAGATTTTTCCCCCATAGAAGTCTGTAGGATCATCATTTCATGGCAATATGCCTCATTAGGTCTATTTTATCATTATGCTAATGACTCAATATTGAAACTCTGGTTCTTTGGTTTTGGCTTTGTTTGTTTGTTTAATTCTCTTTGGTCTCTGTTCTCTAGCTCTGAAATTTCACTATTCAAATATTAGACCCATGCAGGTACTCTTCGTTTTCTTACCTTCCTTTTTTTTTCTATCATTTTCTTTCTGTTCTATTTTCTGGCAGATTTCTCAACTTGTTCTCATAAGCCGTATTTGTTCTTGTTTCTCCTATTATATATTTACTTTCCAAGAGTTTTTTGGTTCTCTGATTTTCTCTCAGATGATATTGATTATTTTCTCCATTATTGACATTTTCTTCTTCCTATATGCTGTCTGTTGTCTTTTTTCTATTTAGGATCACTAACAAAGGACTGTATGACCATATGAATGGAGTGCTAAAAAGCTAGTTGGAAGCTCTGTGCCTGTGTCGGTCTTTTTAGTTCATCCTCAGACGTCAGGATCTGTGGATCTTTCCTCTTGGACTTTTCATATTTCCCACAGAAGAATTATAGTCTTCTTCGCATCTCCTACACAGAGAGTAAATGTATGGCTACTAGTGTTTTGGGAGTTAAGCAAGAAAACTGGGAGTTCAACATGCACGTGCATAGAGTCACTGAATTTCTCTGTTTTTAGAATGGTACTCTGTTTAGCTGTGTGGAGCATCCTCCAGAGACCCTGTTTTCCCCACTCCAGAGTAAACCTCTAAGTGCTCTGTGGGCCAGGGAAGAGGCTGTGAGATTGCATCATGCCCTGTGTTCTGGAGCTCTGTTTCTTTAAAAGACGTTTTAAAGCAGCACTACTGTGTTCAATCCCAACCTCACCCCTACTTCGAGTGATACTTGATAACACCAAATCCTGAGCCTTGGGGAGAGGAGTGCTGTGGTATACATCACATTGCCTCTCAGCTTTCACCAGTGTCTTATTCAGCTTTCTTGGATCCACTAAGACATTTACCAGTGATCTCTCTGCTTTCTAACTTCTACATTTTACTGCTCTGACTTTTTGCCACTCTCTTTGTTAGCATATGCTTTAAAAATTAATACTGAATTCTCTCCTAAAGTGGAGTTTCAGGAGTGAGTAGATACATGTGTATGTATCCAATCAACCTTCTGTACTTTTGCTAATTCTTGACCTCATTTAGCATCTTCTTAAGGCACAATGAATAAAGATGACTCCCTTGAACAACATATCCATTTTTCTAAATGTATTACCTGCAGTACATTTTCACTTCGAACTCAGTATCTGAACCCATTGTTTTCCAGTAAAACCACTTCCCTCTCTAAGTCTCTTCATCTCCGTTTTTGTCAACAGACAGCCAACCCTACAGGCCTCTGCTACAGAGTTGCTTTTGGCTCTTTCTACTGTCTTCCAGACCTAGCCATTGAATTTTTAAATTCTGCTTTTTCTTTCTGTGTATGTCCTTGTTTTTAACTCTCCTCTCCTAGTTCCACAACCATTGCTTTGATTTTCATTACTAACCCTAAATCAGGCCACCATCCAGAGGATTACTGGAACGATGTTCTCAGGTGTTATATCAGGCTTCTTATAGCACACTTTCCTATTCACTAATATGCAGTGATACTCTCTTATCTGCCAGATAAAACCTAAACTCTAGTGTAGCATTTTGCTTTATTTGGCTTTAGCAAATTTCTGTGCCTTTATTTGTGATGTTGCTTCT